AATCTATCATGTAGTGAAAAGAGCGAATCAAACCATTGCCTCTCCTCTTTTTTTGAGCCAAAAGTAGTGTGAATTTATGTATGATAGATATTGTGCTCCAATCACATGCAGTGTCCTTTGAAATATGTGGCGAAAAATGCATCGCCAGATTGTTGAGGCCACGGATATGGTTGACCTAGAAGGTTTTTGACATTCTGAGCCTTGATGGTACCATATCCAATGACAGAACCTTTAATTAACTCGAAATGTTTTCTTTTTGCTTTCCTGTCATATTAGGTGTCTCAAAATGCGCTTTTTTCGCTTTTTTATGTTTTTTTGATTGAATAAGAGTTTCTCTACTGATTTTTACGTCAAGAGGGACTTCGTAAATTTTCGCGAAGTCATAGGGGACTTCGTTTCCAAAAATGCTCCAAACCAACACGTGCCGGGCCCTGTTCCCGCTCCTGGAACTCGTGGACGCAGCCATCAACGACAACCAAGAAGATCGTGGATGTACGAAGCGAGGGACAGGGAAAAATGGCAACTTCTGTGCTGGGCCCGCACGTCACGTGAGGACGGGCCATCTAAGTATCTAAGTAAGTAAGTAAGCTTGAAGTGCGTTTGGAAACTAGAATTATGATGATTTTATCTTTGTAACCCTTAGAAATCAGGGAGTAAAAACACTTGCCAGAAAAAAGAGAGTAATCTGCGCCAAGTGATAACCTAGTTGCTCTGTGTTCAAAATTCTATGAAACTTGGGATGACCAAATATGGAAATTGATAACATCAGAAAATCATTTCAAAAAACTTGAAGATCCGTTATGTCTACCAATGAAATGCCTTGTATTGCATGCTTACTCTGTTCAAAAGCGATCAAAGCTATTCCAAAAGTTTTTTCAGGTGGAAATTTCAGAAAAAGCTAATATAAGGATAGGTAATCGAGCGACCACCAAAGGAAACGAATAGAACACAACTGCTAGAAAGATGAAGAAATTGTGCATCAAACACTGTTTAGAGCTGTTATCTTATGAGCAAGTTATCTTTATTCAGATTTAGGATAGGTTTCAAAAACAGCACGTTCTTCCATACCAGCCCAATATAAGGCATTGTCAGAGGATGGAGAAAGACAGCGGCATGAGCGTCGTACGCAGCTGACGCAGCTTAGCATGCCCTCAGCACAGGAGGGTAGGTCACAATGCGCGGTATTCTTCAACAGAGAGGACGAGATCTGTAGATTGCCTGCACGGACGGGTTTACACACTCTATGGATCACTTGTATTGGATGCTATCGCTGGAGAACCTGTCTTTAAAAACATTAAAACTATGCGAGTAGTGTGTTGCCTTTGTCAACGTGAGGATGGTCATAAATTTAGTACTTGAAAACCCTAAATTAGACCAGTATACAGGTTGCAAAAGTCTTTGGGTCAATTTTGCAGTATTGTAAATGACTAAACTAATTATGTTTTGATTCGAGTTCTATGCCAAATGATGCTGCGACCATTCTCTACAACATACCTATTATCTAACTAATAATGGCTGTCATATGTTTTTATAAGAATTGCAACTATCACACTAGTACTTTTGCAGAGCGAAAAATTAGAATTTTCAGTGTTCACATTTTATGCCATAGCTGGGACATGATGTTAATACTTTACAACCTATAGTGCACACGATGTAATGTCGAAGGTTTTGGAAAGTAAGTCTTCTTTTAGGAAACAGAGAAAGAGGGATGTTGATCCTGGAGTTGAGTCTCAGAAGGAGAATCAAGCATTTGAAAAAAGCTGCCATTATGAGTTGTCATGACATTGGCATTTTGAATCTTATAGAACTTGAGTGTAAAGGTAGTGATGCTGCAATGTTGCAGATTTGTAGAATAGGGTTTGCCCTATAAGAAAATAATTTGTCAGTCTCATTAAGCAACCAAAATGGTGTATTTATCTATTAGCTCGTTCCGAAAGTAACGTCGCTTTTATCAAATGAATGCCACATTTCATGGAATTAAGATCTTCAAGAGATCTTAAGAGCATTTAATGCAGCATTTCATCCACTTTCTAACAGTTGTAATATCGCTGCATAATATTCAATGAGCTCTGTAAAAATTACCAAAATCTGCGACCCATGCTTCTGTGGTCAAGTTCGGCTATTTTTCTAAATTGTTCTACCTATTCTCGGAAGAAGTACAAGCGATTAATAGATAGAGCAAACCCTATGGGACATATAGCAATTTTTTCTTTTCTTTAGCTTGCTTTTAGAGTTTCTGGAATCAATTTTTCAATGCTATCAAATTCCATATTTGGTCGGCTCAAACCTCACAACCTCAACAATCGGCAAGCATCTTGGGTGTCATTCGACGCAGCTTTTTCTCCCCTTTCTACCAGCTGTTTTTTGTTTCTGATTCATTAAGTTTCCCGGGAAAAATCATCATAATTTAGGTTTTCCAGGGCGCTCCAGGCTGTACTCGGAAATTTCAAAAGTTGCTAACCCTGAAGCGGTGAATGCCCATTTGGTTGTAAAATTAGTGTCAAACAATAATCCATCTTTGTAAGTTTCAAAATCCGAAGGATTAGTGGTGTGTGATGCATTTGTGTCTGAGACGAGCCTGCTAAAATTCGGTGGTTCCATCAAAAAATCTATACAAAAATTATGACGAGCTCTGGAAAGTAGATAAATGATGTGCTGTTTCTTGTAGGGTTTGCTCTATCCACCCACTACTTGGGCTCCTTGCGAGGGTTGTAAAAAGAATTTAGAAAAATTGTGAAAATTGAACTTCTTAAAAAGCATGGGTCACAGATTTTGATAGTTTTTCGAGAGGTCATTAAATTTTTTGCAGTGATTATATAATCTTTAAAAAGAGAATGAAATGTTGTATCAAATGCTACCAGAATCTTTTACATATCTTTGTTTACGAGATGTGGCGTACGTTTGAAAAAAGCGACATTACTTTTTGAACAACCTAATACAGTGCTGGACATAATTATAAAGCCACTCTAGAAATCGTCGTAATTTTCGTCCTTGTCAATGAATCTGCCTAAAACTTTGCTGTATTGTGCGCATGTCAACCTACCATAACCCCTCAAAACGGCTTCCAGTCTTGTTAAATTTGAACGGAGAAAAACGAAAAAATTCGAAAAAGCCTTCTTTGACAGCTGGACAAAATTATGAAGCCACCTGGTTTTTCTAATCACTATCGCATTCGTTGACTCTCAAATTTTTTTGTGCAATTACATCCCAAAATATGAAACATTTGCAACACCTACGGCCTGTCATCTTACTCAAATAGAAGCGATCACTGCGTTTTTTGTTTTCAAAAGCACCAAAAGTCAATTTGCTTCAACAAACAACTGGTTTAGAGAGTTTTCAAGCTCTTGTTCATTTCAAATGATAATCATGGAATCTACTGACCCTTCTGGATAGATAAGGTGAAGAACGCTTTCGTAAACTCTGCGTAATCGCTGATTTTGACGGACAGACTCCAACCTCACCATAGGGCTGACGCACTTTTACACCACAAAACTCTATTTTCAAGCGACAGAAAATACTGTTATGTACCCATTGACAGCCATACAACAGTGAACTCGTGTGCATAACTGAGAAAAATTCCGGGATTGAGCACTCTGGTTCAGCCGCAGTTGACATCCACTGAATGTTGAGTAGAGCACCCTGCACAATCAAAGCCAACTCAGATCACGAGATGAAACATGAGACGCTTGAAACTTCAAAATCTTAGCTAATCTCATTTATCGGGTGAAATATGACATGAAACACAGAGAGAAATAAGGAGATCTAGGGTTATATCGAATCTTCTGCTCACAGGGAATTTTCGTGGAAAGTATTTTAGGTCTAAATCACCACCGCATCATAGGGAAAATCTGAAAGTTGTTGCGAAAGCTCATCCCCATGTAGGCAATGTAATAAATCAAGTTCAGCACTTTGTGGACATTGCAAACTGAGTTTTATGGTTTAAAAGCGTTTCAACCCTATGGTGAGGTTGGAGTCTGTCCGTCAAAGTCAGCGATTACGCAGAGTTTACAAAAGCACTCTTCACCTCATCTATCCAGAAGGGTCAGTAGATTCCATGATTATTTTGAAATGAACAGAGCTTGAAAACTCTTAAAACCAGTTGTTTGTTGAAGCAGATTGACTTTTAGTGCTTTTGAAAGCAAAAAATGCAGTGATCGCTTCTATTTGAGTAGGATGACAGGCCGTAGGTGTTGCAAATGTTTCATATTTTGGGATGTAATTGTAAAAAAAAATTTGAGAGTCAACGAATGCGAGAGTGATTAGAAAAACCAGGTGGCTTTATAATTTTGTCCAGCTTTCAAAAAGGGCTTTTTCGATTTTTTTCGTTTTTCTCCGTTCAAATTCAACAAGACTGGAAGCCGTTTTGAGGGGTCATGGTAGGTTGACATGCGCATAATACGGCAAAGTTTTAGACAGATTCATTGGCAGAAACGAAAATTACGACGAATTCTAAAGTGGCTTTATAATTATGTCCAGCACTGTATAAGAGGAGAGGTGCTGTGCGAAATGTTTTCAGTCTCAGTTTGTGCTCAATTTCCTTCTGTTCATGTCTATTTCCATAATGTCCGAAAACTTTTATTAGTGATGCATTAGAGTGCAGGTTCATTATCTATCTTGAAAACTAACTGAATCGTATTTTTTTGTTATTTACCCTTTTTCAGATAGAGTTGAATGAAGATTGGACAGATTTGCAAACGGCTAGTTACAGTAAATAGAATGTTGATTGTGCTATCACACAGAAATAAAGGCATTCTACATAATTCATTCGGTGAAAGTACGATGTAATGGGATGCCTAGATAATTGGCACACTGTGTGACAGTTTGTGCTACAAGCTTTTCAATCGAAGCCATGTAAAAGTTTATCCAAGTTCGATCTTGAAAGGGCATCAGCCGCAGATTACTGGATCGTTTTGATTGTAGAAGCGACAACAGACATTCGCTGCACAGCTAGCGGAGGGAAGGTTTTGCACTTTACATAGGGCTCGAATATGAATTAGAAAATGCGACGTCATTGGATGCGCCTGCAATTTTGCACTGCTAAGCATGTAGAGGGAGCAAGCAACATGAGCCTGCGCAGGCCAAGAGCGAAGTCGTTTGGCATGTGTACAGCTGAGGCTAGGTTAACCCTTTGGGACCTGCCGGTGGCAATTGCCAACACCAACTTTGAAGGACTGCAGCAACGCCGCTATAGCATATTCCTGGCACTCCCGATTACAGTAGTTCTAGATGGCCTACTGCTTTCTAATTGCGCGTCCTTTCGCATTTTTGTTCGTTCTGCACCCAGTACCAGAAGCATTTGTGCACGAAGGAACGATGGATCGCGCTCGGCCCCGCAATCACACAGGTTTGTGTAAATTTTTTTGAAGAACATTCAGTTTTTATTCATACTACTATTGTAACTGTTTAGTATGAGGTAGTTAGAGAAATGTGTGGTAGTTGTTTGAGTGTCCACATGTTTTGGCTATTTTGTTTTATTTGGCAATTCTGAAGATTATGGCTATTTGCCATAATCTTCAGAATTGCCGTACGCAAGCCACCACTGGGCTTTAGTGGAACTTTAATGGAAGGTTTTTTATTCAGAAGATGGACCGCCAACGAGCTTCGACAAGAATCTAGCCAGTATATCTCAACAAATCACGAGAGAAGCTGCGGCCGCATCATTGGCGAAGGTGATGTTGACGAGGTGTTCGGAGAGATTGAAGAAAGCGACGAAAAAGAACACGAAGATGAGAAAAGGAAAAATAACTGGTGCCGCGAATGAACCAAAACAAGGAAGACCGGTGTCCAATTTTTCGAATACCAAGATTGCACCTACTGCCGTTCCAACAAAACGCGTGAAGCCCGGATTGATACCTATGAGTGAAGTTAGATATGACAGCGTCGGACACTGGCCGATACATGAGGATGGAAACGAACAACGATATGAACTAGAATCATGTGGAGGACGTTCACGAATTCGATGTGAGAAATGTAACGTTCATCTTTGCCTGACAAAACATAGAAATTGCTTCAAAACTTTCCATTGTTAGTAAGCGAGGTGTGATAAAAGTCGTTTCACTAAGGCCTGTTGGTGGCAAATGCCACCACTTTGTATTTTCTTACTGTATGGTCGAAAAGTTTCCAAACTTATCTGAAGTGTTATTTATGTGCCCATGAGTAAGAATCAATGAAATAAAGAATTTTTTCTTAAAAGCAGTCAGTCAGGTCCGAAAGGGTTAAAAAAAACAGTTTTCTGCGCTGGGCACAGAAGCTAACGAAAAGTATTTGGGAGCATAGTTGCGATAAAGCGCACAATGGATCTTACCCCCTCACTTTTGAGCCAGAACCCGGATGACCTCCTTCACCTGGGGCTGACGAAGTTAGTTTGAGAGTGGACAAAAACCTATTGCAGACTCAATATAGCCGTGGAACAGCCACATCTATAAAAAATATTATTTACATTGATTACAATATTATTACGATAGTTGTACTGCACCCAGAAGCATCTTCAGTTGATAATGTGGTATAAAAATGACTAATTATAGAAGGAATGAAAATAATTCATATGGGAATCAAAAAACAACACAAGGATTAAAAATCACTTGATGTTTTTTCTCGAAAATTACAATGGTTGTTTGCTGCACCTTTCTCCCAAGTTTTTTTGGAGAATTACATATTTTTAAGCTTTGAAACTTTCTAAGGCTTGTCATAGCTTTGAGATAGGTTTCCGCTCAACAATCTATGTACGATTCGAAAGTTTAGACAGTGGAAATTCGACATAGACCATCGACTTTCTTCCATGTCTTTTGAACCGTGAGATAGAAAAGATTTTATCTGGTTGATGTATCAACTAAGTTAATATGCTGTTTCCGCTCTCTTAACGCGACCAAAATGAAAGCTACGAAAAAGCCCTTGTCTACGTTTATTAGAGGCAACGTCCACCCAAATTCTCGACTTCCATGTTTTTGTCGCTTCCAGGCCTTCTGAAGGTCCTGATTCAGAATATGTAGTCGAGAATCCGCGAAATAACCAAAAAACCCCGTTTTGGAGAACGGCGCAATGCAAGTCGCAGGGCTGCGGCGCGTTATACGCCCGGCGTATATCAGCGCCGCAGCCCCGCCAAACCTCCAAAATGGGCGGAGTAACCAGGTATCCGGAGTGATCAGCTCCGGATTACATCCCTTCCGGAGCGGATTTCTCGCTCCGGAAGGAATCTTTTGCGGCGCTACTTGGGGGTTGGCCTAGTGTGGGGGCCCACATTAATATGCAACTGAATCTCGTGAACCTCCACTTTGGGTGGACGGTGCCTTCAAATGAAGACTTGCTTTATAACATAAATAGATAATCAGCGGTAGTTAATCTTCGTTGGGCAGAAAGCTACTGTTATGGACATAATTTTGAATAAAATGCAACGGATCGGTAGTGTGGGGCTAGAAAATCCCCACGGTCTACGTCGTATCCCCGTTTTTCCTAATCTTTCGAATGGCATATAGATTGTTTTCCGAAAAAACTCACTAGTTTTGAGAAATTGGGTGGAAATATTCACCATTGGCTTGCTCCATCCCGCCTTTCAATGTATTGGGTTTTATGGGTCACCAGCGCAAGTTAAAAAATTAGTTTGAAGTTAAAAAGCGAAATACAGGGTGTCCCAAAAGTAAGTACACACTTTTCAATCACTAATGACTCTCTTCCCATTATGTATTTTTCCGCCATTCGTACAGTTCTGTAAAGAAGGCTTCAATCTAGATTTACAGTATTGAGTGAATTATAGATCGCTCTTCGTTACTGTAGGATTATTGTAGAAACTTCGACAAGGATTTTAGGTCGATGGAAGCCATATTCTGCCTTGGAACAAAACCAAATAAGCCAAAAACTCTCATATTGTGGTAATGGAAGCCGCTGATTTCAGATATGAAGTTTACACTTTATTGTGATGCTTCTTTCCAAAGTTATCCCAGATAAACCGTTATAACCGAATTTCCAGTATTTGTCAGAAATCTGATTACACCGTCAAAAAAGCTGAAAACGCTCGTAAAAAGTGTGTAGTGGAATCAGCGTGCGCGAAAACCTTGGTGCACGATTTTTCAAATTTTTTTGAAAAAAATTTTGTCAGTTGGCATATTTCACAATGGTTCCACATGCTAAAAGTTCTTAACGTAATTCTACAGTAACGAAGAACGATCGGTGATTCGTTCGATACTGTAAATCTAAGTTGATGCCTTCTCTACGGAATGGTTCTTAAATGGCGGAAAAAGGCATAATGAAGAGAGATATTAACGACTGAAAAGTGTGTATTTACTTTTGGGACACCCTGTACATCAATAAGCTGTAAAACATTCGAAAGCTTTGAAAACAGGGTTTCGACGTAGACCGTTGACTTTTTTCTAGCCCCACTCCATCAAGAGATACGTTGCCTTTTATCTAAATTCATGTCCATTTTCAATAGTAGAATTCTGCCTAATAAAGAACTAACTGCAGCTGATTATCTTTCTATGTTACAGAGCAAGTCTTCATTAATAAAAACAGACTGATTTCTCGTAGCTTTCTTTGTTGCGATAAGAGAGCAGAAAATGACGTCAATTCAGTTGAAACATTGGCCAGATAAATTCTTCATATCTCACGACTCGGATGACCTAGAAAAAAGTCGACAGTATATGTCGATTCTCCAAAATCTCAGCTTTTGATACCGCTTTTTGGCTTCGAAAAAAAAGCCTCGCTACTCTTAAAAAGTGGCAGTAGCATTCCTCAATGCCAATCACTCGACCCCCCCCCCCTCAACTAAATAGAATTTTCTCTTCCTTAACACCTGAGGTAGCCTTTATGCACTGTTTGTTTATTCCGGCGGGAGGTGACAGGCTACCATCTTACTCTAGCAATGTTCTCGTTATTCACACTGGTTTCGGCACATGTTACCGTGCATAAAGATAAAGATAAAAGACAAAAGAAGTCTGCCAATTGATATACCATGCCCCAGCAATCCCCCCTCCCCCTCCCCACTCGGCATTCTGCGAACGCCAGCAACCAACTATCAGTACTCACTTGCCCCCTGCACCCAGGGCCCGGCACAGATCGTCTGGAAGCAGGCTGGACTTCGTATTTGAAGCAAACAGCAAAGGAGATATCGTTTCTGACGGATAGGGGCTAAGCACCAAGAATGAGCGCCATTTAGTCGAACACAAGCTTTTCGGACAGGTTATCGCACGATTGACATGCTCTATCGTGTACGGCGGAAAGTGCGCGCGATTTGAAAGCAACGCTAAAATAAACAAATTGCTTGTTTACAACGCACACAGAAGCATATGACACCAAAATTGAACTGTATACATAGAAAATTATTTGCGGAAGAATTATGAAAAAGATTTGAAAACTTATGTGAAGTAATACCTTTTTCAAAATTAGATCGTCTCCAGACGGCCACCAGACGATCTGAGATCGTCTGGAGCATATATTTTCGTCACTTCACATAAGTTTCGGATCTTTTTAGCATGGACGGATTCCCCGGTCAAAAATCTATCCCTGACCGTGAAGACATTTTCATATCATTGCCTTTCCTTTGTTTTTGCCTTCATTTATTCTCGCTTTGTTAGATATCGCGCTCTAATGCCAAAGTCTTGTGCATGCGTAGTATTCAGCTCCAGTTTGGATTTTCGCTCTTATCTTACGTCTTTTCTTTCAGACTGGTAATTTTTTCTTGTTTTCATCTTCTTCTAAGCAGGTAGGTCAAAGGGGACTTCGTAAAACTTCCGTAAGTCAGGAGAGACTTCGTTTTCAGAAACCCTAGAAACCGACTCGTGCCGGGCCCTGCCTGCACCCTCCAAGCGCGGGAGTAGCTGAGACCCCTTACACCTGGAGAGGACCCGGCTCCTACCATCGCAGTTATGCTACGGGCCCTAAGTGTATTTAGATGCGGAGCAAGATCATTGCAATATTGGATTAAGGTCATGGTATTATTGAATATGAAGAGAGACATCTATTCTTTTCAAAAGCTTCTCTGTCCAGCGCAAAAAACTGCTTTTTTATCAGCCTCAGCTACACGCATGCCAAGCGACTTCGCTCTTAGGCCCCGGACAGAGTTCACGCGATTTGATCGTCGCGATTCAATCGCCAAGATTTCCATTCATTTTCATTTCACATTCAAAGATTTCGGGCTGAAAAAGTATCACAACCGAAATGCAAGTTGATCGGCATGGAATGTTTTGTAACAGTTGTCTCGTCGCGATTCAGTCGCGACGATCAAATCGCATGAATTCTGTCCTAGGCCTTAGTTCGCACAGACGCATGATGCTCTCTTCTTCTAAATACTAACAAGGGAAAGTTCCCAAGTCAGCTCGGGCAACCCGGATGAGTCATATATCATCGTAACGAGCTTGTAACGCTAATTCCGAATCTGCTTTCCTTTTCTGCGGAGCAACTTTCCGAGGGAAGTTATGAGCGTTTAAATGTCTAAATTTGTTATGTTCAAAGTGGCTTAAAATCAGTTGAAAGCTGTAAAACAACACCTAACGGAATTTCATTATCTATGTTCCGTTCTTGTAATCAATACACTTGATACAAAAGTGATAAATCACTTTCATGTGTTTTGTACAGGTTTCGCCAATTTTAAGCCACTTAAAACATGACAAATTTAGACTTCGAAACGCTCATAACTTCTCTCGGAAAGCCGCTCCGCAGAAAAGGAAAGCAGATTTGGAATCAGCGTTTCAAGCCCGTTACGGTGATATATGACTCATCCGGGTTGGCGGAGCTGAATTGGGAACTCTCCCTCGTAAACAGTGCAAAATTGCAAGAGCATTCGTGAAAATGACGTTCGCACTTCCGACTAAATTCGAGTCCTTATTTGTAAGGTGCAAAACTTTCCCATTCTCCTCTTTTCTCTTCAAAACCAAAATCTAGTTCAGCTCGATGCCCGATTTAGAAAACTCAAAAACTGCAGCCATTCTGGACGAAAAATTTGGCGGAAACTTTAACTAAACGCCCGATGATTCAAAAAGCTTGTAATGGAGGGATTCACCTACAAAATTGTGATAATCCAATGGTCAAATCAAAAGGTAGTTTTTAATTGTTGCAGGATTATTCATCAAAACATCAAACATTAACGGTTTTCTGCGAGAATACATGTTTTGCAGTTGTGCGGAGCAACACTTGAGAAATGTATGATTTTGTGGAATCTCACAAACATACCAAATGATTCAGCTGGAATAATTGACCTATAAAATTTAGCAACTGGGCGGTCACCTACAATCAGTCACGTATATGACACTACCAGCAACTTGCAAGGCAATCTCTACTCAGTCTCTTAGCTGCTCCCCTTCCATTATATTTTGTGACTTAGTGCAACAACATTTCATATAATATACGTCTTCTTGAATGTGGCCATTTATCCTTTCATGCATAGTCTGTGATTGACCTGCCGAACTCCAAACTCAAGAGTCTTAGTAAAACATCCGTCATTATAACTCGGCTAAGTCAGTCAATATGAACTTACGGCGCCTTAGCGCAGCAATAACGATTTCGATCTCCGTGAGGACAGCTATGCAACAGACCGTGTATTTCGAAGAACAAGGCGTTTACGCAAGTTTGATCGAAGCCAAAGATGCAAGCCAAAGTTCTCCAAATTGTTCCACTTAGGCTCTTGAAATCAGTCTCCGCATGCGATATACATGTGTCCAAATTTGTAACACTGCCTTTAAGGGATGTTCCTCTATTTTTGCTTGCACAGTATCTCCGCAAGATAAACTTGGAACGTACGTTCCACTTTCGGAAGTGTGGTGAGCTTACCGCGGCACCTACCCAGACGCTTACCTGTCAGGTCACGTCGCATTCTCATTGCATGGGGGAAGGGTGGTCGTAAGTACATCTCACGAAACTCAACTGAGGCCGTCGTTCAGATCATCTGAGCTAACCGAGCTTTACGTAGCATTTTTGTTGAAGCCATTCGGACAGAATGCTTTATCGAAAAATGAAAGGTTTTTGGCAAAAACTAGCAAATATTTATGGAAAAAAATCAGTAGGTTAACGACGTATTGTGTAAAACAAGGAAGGAAAGCACATGTCTTTAAAAGAATCATATGGATGTACCCTTTGATTCAGGCTTGGCTGCAAGAAGGCAGTGACCTAATTGAGGCTAGGTAATGACCACAGAGCACGCGCACGGGAGAGACGCAGACTTTGCCACGGGCGCGAGCGGCCCTAATTAGATCATAAAGAACCGCCTTCCAGCCGCCAAGCCTGTTGAATCAAAGGTGGACTATACTGAACAACATCATACAAGGTATTGCTCAACTTTTCAACAAAATAATCTAACAATCATTTGACAGGTTCCATCCACAATGAAAGAGCTATGTGTGATTTCAAGTCTATTATATTCAGTTGAGACAGTCTACAGATTCGCCCTTGAGTTTGCCGGCAAGGTTCAGCCTTCCAACGTTGAACGTCTTCTGTGGGTAAGCACCACGAGTAATATATTCCTTGGGAATGGTGATTGCAATCTTCTTGTAGCATGGCTAAAAATTGATTTGTTCACTTTTGTCCCCTTAAAAAGTACAAAAGCGGAAACTTACTCCTCTATAATTGCACTTGTGGTAGATGTTGACCTTAGGATCGATGTTAGTGATTTCTGTTTTGCTTCCGGATAGATAGAAGCTACCATTAGCGTCGGTCTTTGTTTGATCCAACTTTTTGTCGAGGACTGTAATCGACGCAAAAGATGCTCAGAAAAGATGAATTACTTCTAATTAAATCAAGAACCCATAGTAAAAAGGCTAATAGAGGATATAACCAACTTTGCTGTCAATTGATCTACAAAAAGCATGAACACTCACAAATTTCTTTTTCGTACAGCTTCACCTTCACACCTGGAGCTGTTGTGCCGTTACACTCCAGAACACCACGTACGGCCACGGACTGTCTTCTGCCAATTCCGAAAAGGCAGATAGATTGATGGAATGAAGCTACAAGCAGCAAAAGCACAGACAAGGAACTCATCTGCAAATATCTATATAAGAGAAATCAATAAGGAAAATGAGCATAATTTCCAAGGACAAGAACTCTTTTTGACGCTCCTAATGATGGTTGAAAGGATGGCCTTTGAATTATAGTGTGTGTCCCTGCAAGCTTGTCATAAGCCCGCAATGCAATCGCAATGCAATCGCAATGCAATCGCAATGCAATCACTTGGTTTGGGCTTTTCATCTCAGTTGTGAGCAGTGAGCATTCTACTTAAAAATGAAGGAGAAATGAGGAGTGGAAACTTCTGAATTCATTTTGAGGGAAGGCTATGCAATAGGACTGTAGAACATAAACCCATACTAAAGATTAGTCAATCCAATGTTTCACATTTGAAACCTCCGTTGATGGGTGGTGATAAGTAGAGAAGGAAATTCAACGAGCATCAGACTTGGAACGTTTCCCTTTTAATTATGAAAAGTTGAATAGTTTAATTTTGAAAACACATGCCATTTGTGCAAAAGAAGCTTAGCCACTTTCTAGAAGGCTTACTGTCCGAATGCGATCTGAAAGACATGATTGTTATATACAAGAGTCTTTTGGAGTTATTTTTCCGAAATTTCTCAAATCTTGACTATTTTAGAAAAGATGAGAACCAATCGAGATAAAAAGCTCGTAGGAACCATTGGAGCAGCACGCAGAAACTTCATCAGCTAAAATCATTAGCAGTGTCCAGGCTAGATCAACCCCCTCCGATTGAAGTTGACCCTGAATGTAGGCCCCACGAGAGGGGCATCTGCGTTGGTTCGGTCCTCTGATGTTGTCTTTATATGGAGATAAAGAGCCTGGAACTGCCAATGTGCTATCAGGCCCCGCCCAGATCTTATCAGACTCCGCCCATCCATGGAAAGCCGCCCGCGCCCTCAAGACAACGTCTTCAGGAATCGTTTTTTTTTTGGAGTTTTGGACTATTTGCGCTTCATAACGTAATCAGGACCACGGAAAGACTCCGGAATGGCAAAAAATTGGAGGCAAAATGAGTGGGCGCTGCCTTTAACACCCAAGATAGAGAGATTATAGGGCAACAAATCAGGTAAGCAAAAAATCCTCTATCAAAAGCGGAAATGATAAGCGGATTAAACAACTCATTGCTGCGGATGCATGGGGGGATCCTTACTTGAAGCTGGCAGGGACATACACCGTATAGAAATTACCTAAGGGTTTATTGCAGGGTCACTGTAGTACGAGAGTCATTTTTAAAAGTAAGTTCACAAACTGAAAACATAAATTTCTTTTCAAGGTAGTCCGTAACGCTGTGAGGCTATGCTTTTGGTGATTCAAAAAAGATTGGTGTCCCACATCAGGCTAGTATTACATTTCATAACAGCTTTGTGGAGCGTAGGCCCTTGGATATGAAAAGAGTACATTCAAGGTTATTGATAAATTTTGTAAGTTGCTGAGCTAGAAACATATTAGGTTGGTGCAAAAATAATGGACGATTTTTAAAGCCTTTTTTCAAGGCAACTTTTTTTCCATCACTACTTTTTTTGAAATAGATTGCTATTGCGGTCATTTTATGACCCATCATTTTCTGTTGAAGAAGTCAATCGCCGAGGCATTGCTCAGTTCTCTAAGCGTAGGGCTAGGGCATCGTATTAGCAGTTTTTACAAAAATATCCAGCTGTTCAGTACGTGGAAAATCAAAAAATTCTATATTCGCAACTTTGAGGCACACTGAAAAAATGTTGTAAAAAGGGAGAAATTTTGAACTTTTATTTCTTTCTTTCTCGCAAACTTTTTTGTCCGAATTCCTTTTATTGTGTTTTTTACTACTGGCTTGCGGCTACAAGATGTACCTATCATTCAAACTAACAAATTTTGAAGGAAGTTGTGAATTGTCAAAAACAAGCTTCTAGCAGAAGAACCTTTTATGTTTCTCAGTCCACATTATTCTGCTCGTTCGTGATGTAAGTATAAGTATTATAAATGTGCTGTATTGCAGAGGTTAGCTGCTTCTGATGATCTTTACCGCACTCGGAAATGTGGATCTTTCGAAAAGCTATAGCACGTCAAAGTGAAAATTCGCAAAACGGCCGTTATTTTTGCACCAACCTAACACAATGAACAACATTTCATATAACATTCGTCTTCTTGACTGTGGCCATTTATCCTTTCATGCATAGTCTGTGATTGACCTGCCAAACTCCAAACTCAAGAGTCTTAGTAAAACATCCGTATTGTAACTCGGCTGAGGCGGCCAAGTTCAACTTACGGCGCCTTAGCGCAGTATCAATAAGGGTTTCGATCTCCGTGAGGACAGCCATGTAACAGACCGTGTATTTTTAAAGAACAAGGGTTTACGCAAGTTTGTTCGAAAGGGTAAATCACAGTATGACAAACGCGAGGCCCCATCGCAAAGGCGACGGGTCCGCACGGAGTGGAGGACTATATGTCGCCGAATTTGGAAGAGTCCTGCGCGTATTCCCTGCAAGAACGCATGTCCGCGCATGTTCAAGGGTGCGTATTTGTCGCAAATGACCGAGGGGACCGCCCTTTTTCGGCGACATATAGTCCTCCACCCGTCCGCACGCAATAGCGTGCAACCCGATGCAAGTCAAAGTCCTCTAAATTGTTCCACTTAGGCTCTCATTGTCAGAATCAGTTCCCATATGCGATCCACGTGTGTCCAGATTTGCCACACTGCCTTTAGGGGATCTTCCTCCATTTTTGCTTGCACAGTACCTCCGCAAGATAAACTTGAAACGTACGTCCCACTTTCAAAAGTGTGGTGAAAATACCACGGCACCTGCCCGGACGCTTACCTGTCAAGTCACGTTGCATTCTCATTGCATGGAAGAAGGGATGGTCGTAAGTACACCTCACGAAACCAACTGGGGCCGTTGTTCAGATAATCTGAGCTAACCGAGCTTTACGCAGCATGGTTTTTGTTGAAGTCATTCGGACAGAATGCTTTATCGAAAAATGAAGGGCTCATGGCAAAAACTAGCAAATATTCAAGAAAAATCAGTAGTTTAATGACGTATTGTGTGAAACAGGGAAAGAAAGCACATGCCTTTGAGAGAATCATATGGATGTACCCTTTGATTCAGCTGGCTTGGCGGCTGGAACGCAAGGCTTCGTGACCTATTAAGGCTAGATAATGATCAGCGAGCACGCGCACGGGAGAGACGCAGACTGCGTCGCGGGCGCGAGCGGCCCTAATCAGGTCACAAAGCCCCGCCTTCCAGCCGCCAAGCGTGTTGACTCAAAGGTTAGGACCATACTGGACATTATCACAAAAGTATTGCTCAACTTCACAGCAAATATACAATCTACCAATCATTTGACGCATTACATCCACAATGAAAGAGCTATGTGTGATTTCAAGTCTATTATCTTCAGTTGAAACAGTCTATAGATTCGCCTTTGAGTTTGCCGGCAAGGTTCAACCTTCCAACGTTGAACGTCTTCTGTGGGTAAGCACCACGAGTAATATACTCCTTGGGAATGGTGATTGCAATCTTCTTGTAGCATGGCTAAAAATTGATTTGTTCACTTTTGTCCCCTTAAAAAGTACAAAAGCGGAAACTTACTCCTCTATAATTGCACTTGTGGTAGATGTTGACCTTAGGATCGATGTTAGTGATTTCTGTTTTGCTTCCGGATAGATAGAAGCTACCATTAGCGTCGGTCTTTGTTTGATCCAACTTTTTGTCGAGGACTGTAATCGACGCAAAAGATGCTCAGGAAAGATGAATTACTTTTAATTAAATCAAGAACCCATAGTAAAAAGGCTAATAGAGGATATATCCAACTTTGCTGTCAATTGATCTACAAAAAGCATGAACACTCACAAATTTCTTTTTCGTACAGCTTCACCTTCACACCTGGAGCTGGTGTGCCGTTACACTCCAGAACACCTCGTACGGCCACGGACTGTCTTCTGCCAATTCCGAAAAGGCAGATAGATTGATGGAATGAAGCTACAAGCAGCAAAAGCACAAACAAGGAACTCATCTGCAAATATCTACATAAAAGAAAGCAATAAGGAAGATGTGCATAATTTCTAAGGACAAGAACTCTTTTTGACGCTCCTAATGATGGTTGGAATGATGGCCTCTGACATGAGATTATGTTGTTATAGTGTGTGTCCCGATGAGCTTTTCGAATCACTTTTAATCACTTTTTGAAGGCTTAAGGTACAAAATCGATTTGAATGACATGATTCTTATATACAAGAGTCTTCTAGGAATATTTTTTGAAATACCCTCAAATATTGATTACTTTAGAAGAGAACAAGAACCATTCAAGATTAAAAGCTTGTAGGACGGGCACGCAAAAAATTCATTAGCTGAAATCATCAGGCAGTGTCCAGGCTAGATCAATCCTCTCCGATTGAAGCTGACCCTGAATGTAGGCCCCAGAGGGGGATCTGCGTTGGTCCGGTCCTCTTATATTGTCTCTTAATGGAGATAAAGAGCCTGGAACTGCCAAAGTGCTATCAGGCCCCGCCCAAATCCTATCAGACTCCGCCCATCCATGGAAAGCCGCCCGCGCCCTCAAGGCAAGGTCCTCAGGAATCGGTTTTTTTTTTTGAAGTTTTGGACTATTTGCACTTCATAACTGTAATCAGGACCACGGAAAGACCCCGGAATGGCAAAAAATTGGAGGCAAAATGAGTGGGCGCTGAATTTAACATTCAAAATAGAGAGATTATAGGGCAACAAATCAGGCAAGCAAAAAATCCTCTATCAAAAGCGGAAATGATAAGCGGATTAAACAGTTCAAACTCGTTGCTGCGTAACATGGGGGGGATCCTTACTTGAAGCTGGCAGGGACATACACCGTATAGAAATCACCTAAGTTACACGGTTAGTTAATCACCTTCTCAATAAGTTTTGGAAGTTGCTGAGCTACGAAATATATTAGGTTGATGCAAAAATAATGACGGAATTTTAACGCTTTTTTTCAGGACAACTTTTTTCCATCAACACTTTTTTGAAGTGTTGATGCCTCTCTCAAACCACAGATAGATGCTCTATCTGTGGTTTGAAAGGGGCTTCCATCCTCATCTGTTATAAAGTTACTGAGCTTTAAATAACCGCAAAAAAACAGAATTTCATTGCATCCAATTTTGTGGGCAGAATTCAAGACCGTATCAATGACAATTCTTCGAAAATTAAGCTATTGTATGTTATAGAAATTGTTCACATTATGCATATCTGCATTCTTTGAAGTTATCCAGACTGAGATATCGGCGTCTAAACATGGGTAGCTGTTGCGATTTTATGACCCATATTTTTTTGTTGAAGAAGTCAATCGCCGAAGCTCAATTCTGTAAGCGTAGAAGGGCATCGTATTAGCAGTTTTTGCAAAAATATCCAGCTGTTCAGTATATGGAAAATCAAAAAATTCTATATTGTGACTTTGAGGCACACTGAAAAAATGTTGAAAAAGTAAGAAATTCTAAATTTTGATTTTTTTCTTCATCGCAAACTTTTTTGTCCGAATTTCTTTAATAGTGTTTTGTACCACTGGCTTGCGGCTAAAAGATGTACTTATCATTCGAACTAACAAGCTTTGAAGGAAGCTGTGAAATGAAAAATCAAAAACAAGCTTCTAGCAGAAGAACCTTTTATGTTTTTCAGTCCATATTATTCTGCCCGTTCGTGATGTGAGTATAAGTATTATAAATGTGCTGTATTGCAGAGGTTAGCTGCTTCTGATGATCTTTACCGCACTCGGAAATGTGGATCTTTCAAAAAGTTATAGCACGTCAAATTGAGATTTCGCAAAACGGCCATTATTTTTGCACCAACCTAATACAATGGCTAAAACATTATTACAGAATTCACCAAACTTGAGACGAAGTCACAGTTGAAGCCATATAGCTATTTCAAAACGAAACTCTTGGGAACGGAACTGTAGAAGATATGTTAGCAAATGAGTTATCAATAGTGGATCATAATTTATTTTGCTAATGTAATCAATGAAATGAAGTTAGCGGTAGATCTTTTAGAAAAGTAAGAAGGAAAAGAAAATCTTACATTCAAACAAAGCGGTCTTTGCAATCTTATATTTATTTGCCGTTCAAACTGAACACTTCGTATCATTCAAAGCAAAGACAGCTCATTTGCATGTCGAAGAGTATTATGCAGGAATGTCATCTCATCAACATAATAATTACATTCGTACGACTTTTTTGTTACAAAACAGTTAATTCCAAATAGTTCATGAAAATTCAGAAAACAAAGAAATAACTAAAATTTTCTAAAGTCACCAAAGACGTTAGAAACGGGGACGATGAGATTCGATGAATACAGTTTTTGCTGCGTTAATATGAGAAAACTCATGTTCTGTCATTTATTCTAGACAACTGTAAATGCGATGAGCGATCTCCTATACAACTAGGCCAATATGTGCCTAAGTTCAAATTCAAAGCCCAAAACATCACTGCAAGTGGAAAGCAATTAGATCACGGGATTGCAGGATACGCTCAAAACGAATATTGTCAATATATAGAGTATTGACGTGTTCAATTCATTGTCAGAATATCAATTATTAATCCTTTTCTTGTTTATTTATACAGCTGAGCCGAGCTATAAAACCTGTTTTTCATAGTGACTCATGACCAAGTGTACTTTCTAAATGTAGTAGTACAACCAGATTAAATTTTGGCATGATGACAAAAATATGATGACTAAGCGTTTGCTTAATACCTTAGTGGACCATCAAGAGAATTTACTCAAAAAATCTACGAAAGAGCAGCGCAAAATTCGTCTGCAGATTGACTAATAAGGTCCTTTTCGCACTTCTCAGCATGCCCATCGCCCAAGCCTCATTCTGAGAGAATACTTCCAAGCTCATTCAGAGTGACGAATGTGACGAGCGCTCACATTGCAAACGCAGTTAGAAACAACAAAAAAGCGAAGATTGATGATTGTATTCCTTTGTATGAGACTTACAAAAGTTGTTATTGACAGTCATAGGGAGGTGAAAAAAACATTCTCTGGGCTGTGACTGCGTTCAGAACGCAAACAACTACAGTCGAGTAGATTTTCCGCTCAGTATTGTGTGCTTGCACAGAAGGTGAAATGCGGTGAAATTTGCGCGTGAACAAGTAGCCAGGCCAGTACTGCCGACATTTTGCGCGCGCAATTGGCCAGCGTCACAGTCGAAACTACTTGTCACGCTTTAAAGTTACCGCATTTCATCTTCTGTGCAACCACACTATATTCAACGGGAAATCTACTCGACTGTATATGAAAAGCCAGAGTCAATATAAATTTTGAAAGGTGGATTTCAATCGGCTTCTGCTATATGCCTAATCAAGTATCACGGAATCTTTGACGAGAAGCTTGAGAAGTACTCAAGGGGGCTGATATAATATGACAAATATGAAGATTAAAAAATATTTTGAACGGTAGAAAACCTGATTTAAAAACACAGGTATGTTTGAATTGGGTCAACTTCTGCACTTTGACAAATTTGCAGCGATTCTTACACCACTGATAGGATAGAAACAAATTTCAGCAAATATTTTATTCATAAATTCGCAAAACTTAGATAAGTGATAGGTACGATGGACAAGTGGAACCGAGAAAACAATGTGTTTTAGGACGTTTTGGACAACAAAATTTAGAACATTAAAGAATAATGAAATCAGAAAATTCTGGTTAATATAAAAAGGTACGGTTTTGTTTCAACCCAGATTAAAAAACGCAACTTCATATTTATTCTTTTGACCTTGAAGAATAGTTTTATCACTGTGAAACAGCAAGTATTTAGCGAAAATTTTGGACTATTAAGAGAAAGTGAGAAATGTTGCGATGAAATGCACGAGAAATTTCGAAAAATTCTAAACTAAAGAGATCTTCTGGGCAATGTTAGTCCAAAGAGACGATTGCTTTGATAATGCGTGTAGATAAATGAAAAAATTTCTTGATGGTTTCAACAAAAAGGAGATTACGTACCCAAACATACATCGAAAGAGAAAAGCAACTTAGATAATCCAATCGGTACTAACATCGTTGCATATTGTCAAGAAATGGGGCGATGTTGACAATCTTCCCATTAGCTCCAATGAAATCATGTTTTTGCAATAACTAAGGCCGGGTTTCTCATCCCTTACTCACAGCAAAATTCTTCGCCTGGAGATATGAAGATGTTTTGCTAAAGAGCTCCAATAGAGTAGTACGTATGGAACCAACAGTATTGTATGCCACACGCTGCTGTTTTTTCACAAATATTTCAAAATGAAGGAGTGTAACAAGTTTAAAAGTCTTAAAATTAAAATATGGTTGCATACCTAAACATCAGTGGCGGGCCGAAATGGGTAGGAGGGCGGGGGAAGGTCGGCCCCTTGAAGAATGGGTCGCGAAATTTTTGAGAATTTGCTAGCATGGGTTATAAAAATGTGCAAGCGATTTGTTTGTTCTTGTATATGAATAAAAAATTTTAAATAAAAAAAATCACATTTAGCCTCGTTAACACATTGACGACCAAAGCCTTTCTCGGACCAGCCAACGTTTTTTGGACAAATCACGCACAATTCCATTTACAGTGCATCTACAGTGGCGTTGGATTGCTGGCAGAAACAGTAGAGGTTGTATCTAGATTCAGCATAAAAGAAAACTCCCAGAGTTGATTTAAAACAAATTAGTAGCCATTTCGATGGGAGTCATGGTGTGCCAAACCTTGACACGCCATGTGTGTCAAGCGTTCGTCAATGTGTTAAAAAATCTTTGGGGACGTGGCTGTCGCCACGCTTCTTCATTCGAAAAATTTTTTCGCCGCTCTACCCCCTCCCCCTTCCCACCGGGACGGAAATCCTAAAATCGCCACTGATGGCATTGACATAAATGGATGAATTTAAAATTGCTGTGTATTCCCTTTGAGTTGTTGATCTAGTTCTTTTGAAATACACGTCTCTAGGCTCAAAAATGCCTCTTTTGTGGAAAATTAGATTTTTCCGCAATCGTGAATTCGTTCGAGGAGATCGAAGTTTGCAGATTCAAGTGAAGCATAAATGGCAGTTTCTACTATGTCTTTTGATTCTTATCAGCGATCTATCTGTCTATAGAAGTAAACCGCAATTGAATGGCTTGTTTATGAAAGAATCACTACTAAAAAGATAGAAACTGTCATATCGTTTGACAAAAAAGCTTATAACTGATAATGCTATAGCGTTAAAAGTCTGTTAATTCACATTCTTTCAAAGTTTCATTCCGCAAAAATTTCTACATTCCCTCATTCGCAAACAAATCTTACACAAACTTTTTTATACGCTCTCAATGTTGAAGTTGCCTTCTCACTTCCATTTTTTCCTTTCCGTTCGATGGCCAAAATTCAATAAAACTTTAAAGAAATAGACATTTAATGAAACGAAGACAAATTCACCATCACAATTGCTTGAGTGCAAAATTCAATCAGTTTTCATTAGATTGTTCCAAAAGTTCTGTCGCTTCATTTTTATAAAATTGTAATCTTTCGCTCCTCTACGTATTGCTTCTATATATTAGAAAAAAGAAGTTTTGCTGCTTTATTGTGTATCTTTAGCTTTTAATACAAGTCTTACACTCTTTTCAGAAACAAAAATACAAAAATAAAACCATTCAAGCTTTGATCATTTCAAGGTATGTCACAAAAACTCTGGAACACTGCAGAAAAAGCCAAAATTGCCAGTCATGGGTTTCATAACCTACGCTTTACAAATGAAAAAAGTCTGTGCTGTTTGGAAGTTTCGACGTGAAGTTATGAATTTTGAGTGTAATAAAAAACGCCAAAATTATTGATTTGCACTCTTCTCGAAAATCATAAATTTTCAAAGAAACATTCAAACAACATAACTTTTTCTTAATCGCAAATCGCAAAGAGCAGGCCGTGAAACCTATGCACTAACGCTTTCAAATTTTTTTCCCGCGTTCAAGATTTTTGGCGACCTGACCGAGGATGATTAAAGCCTGAATGGTCTTGTTTTTTCTTTTTATATCTGCAATGAGTCCATAGTGGAAGTTTGTCAGGGTATACTTGCAATGGGACACTTTTTATTTCAATAAAGCTACGAGGAAGCAGTCAAGATACGAAGAGTCAGAAACTAAATATGAAACGACAGAACTTCTGGAACTAGCTAGTATGTTTACTAATAGCCATATTCATGACTATTAGCAGTAATAATAAGTGCTGATATTGGCAGTTCGGAAGCTAGAGCTTTTTGAGAATGCAAGTTAAGAATTTGTCAAAAAAAGTTCGGAGATTCAAAAATTCAAAAACCTTTTTTTACGAGTGACATGTGTATTTCGAAAATCTATTTCCCTCAAATAATGGAAACGAGTGTGGCCTTTTCAGATGGGCTATTTATTGGAATCGTCTTCAATATTTATTCAATATTGAAGACGATTCCAAATCTGCCTTTCTTATTAGCGGAATATTTGTGGATAAGGACTTATGAGCGTTTATTGGAAAAAATAAGAAAAGCATTCAGGGTAAAATGAGTTGATGAAATCTTACTAGCGCTTAATTGAAGCAAGCATGTGTTGCATATTTTCTTAGAGTGCTTATTGATTGAAGTGCTGTGATAATTATCAGAGCTCCATCAAAGCGCTAGAAAAAATACTACGACATTTTTGTACTACCATATATTGCACTTTCTAAGCTTACTCAGTCAGCTTCCAGAATCCCTTCAAACATTTCAGCTCATATTATTCATTTAGCCAAAATGTATGTTCCAATGATTTTCTTGACCATCGTTGGATGCGCCATGACAGCCGTGCATAGAATGCATGTGAAGAGGATTACACCGCCAATGGTTGAAATGATACGTAATGGAACTTACGAAAAATTTGTAAGCGAGATGAGACGACGAGCGATCCATTCGAATATTGTTGGGGACATTCATATACAAGATGTGAGCAGACAAAAGCGTAGTGTTTGCGCAGCTGCTGATATCTTTGCCATTTTCTATTACAGTTAATTACATATTTCGACCTGGAATACATCGGCGAGATAACAATCGGTGATCCTCAACAGACTTTTCGAGTAAGGCGCTATTTTGGTTCCATTCTTGAACGCAAAGTTCAAAGTTCAAATTTTTTAAGGTAGTTTTGGATACAGGTTCTGCCAATCTTTGGGTTTCTGATAATTCCTGCTACAAGCTGCCGGATAGACCCGATCATTGCAAGAACTCACTCTGTGATTTAGGACGTGAGTCATTAGTTTTATTGCTGCAAAGTTCTTTGAGTGCATTCGGAGATATGGCGTCATTGCGGACTGCGGGCGCCTCTGTAATCATGTGCACTTTCATCCCTCTCACCGTCTTCTGTCTCTTTAAAGTTCCAGCTATCTTATTGTTAGTTGGGCGCAGGAGCGTCTACATAGCACGCCTTCATCTATGACTAAGGTGTGATGTGCATTTACACGTTGTTAGGAATAGGTTGGGAATACCGTTTCCTCCAATACCTTTAAGCTTTTCGTTAATGTCCGCTACACTCCTCTCAATTGTACCTCAATCAATCCTGCTTCTGTTTCTTTCATACTTGCCTAACCAAAGAGGCCACCCAGTACCTTGTCCTTTTGTTCGTTGAGGCGCAGAATCGGAAATCAGAGATTATTTAGCAACGAAAAAAATCGAAACTTTGCTGATACACACTGTGTGACTTGCAATAATTTTTTTTGAAGAACGTGAACATCAGACTGATCGAAATAGTGACAGATTCATAGATTCCCAATTCTTACAAGGGAAGGATACCAACATTAGTTGGCAACTGAAGATGAGATGTATATCCTTAGAGCGCCTTTGAACGCTGATTCAAAATCTGCTTTCCTTTTTTGCGGAAGAGTTTTTCGAAAAAAGTTATGAGCGTTCGAATATCCAGATTTGCCATGCACTGAGTGGCTTAAATCAGCGAAAAGCTCTAAAACAAGACCTATGCGATTTCCACCGGCTTTGTTCCTTCCTTGCAAACAATATACTCGACACAAAAATGATTTTTACTTTCCGATGGTTTTGTACAGCTTTTCGCCAATTTTAGGCCATCTAAACCTTGACGAATTTGGATATTCGAACGGTTTGTGGGCTTCTTCCGGAAACTTATTCCGCAAAAAAGGAAAGCAGATTTGGAGTCAGCGTTCAAAGGCGCGTTTACTGATATAAATCTTATTTTCAATCTCCGACTAATGTTGGTATCCTTCCCTTGTTAGCGGCAAAAGCTTTTTTGAAATGAACATTTCCTGACAGTACGCAAAGCGTCAAACAGAGCTAATTCAAGGTGATCCGTTTGAGAAAGCACTGCTTAAAGCCTGCACTACCTTGACCCTAAACTCAGTGCTAGTTCATGATGACCGCAAACTTACGCAAAATCTTCGAGATGAAGAAGTGGTCAAACGGTAAACAGCAACTGTGATTTCCTTTTAGGGATATTTTTTCCCGCGTAATCTATTGTTTGTGGCCCACTGCGCTACCAATCGCAATCTATTCTCCGAAGGTCTGATAAAGTTCTGTGAAAGATTAATCCTGTGATGTTGGCAAAAGTTCACATTTTGCGGATGGGAAGTTTGCATCGTGGCAGTAAAGTATACAGTAGACATCAGAAAAGCAAAGGATGAGCTACATACAGGGCTTATCAAACGCAGTGTCGCTTGCATCAGCATCTCCACTCCCGCGCTGGACTCTGCATCTCTTCCAAAACATGCTCTCTGATCACTTTCCGGGAGCGTGGGAAAGGCGGAGCTTCAATCGATTGGAAATGATTAAAGAGCATGTTCGCGGAAGAGATGCAGAATCCAGCGCGAGAGTGGAGATGCTGGTGCAAGCGACACTGCGTTTGATGAGCCTGTAGCATTTATTCTCTTGGCAAGAAATTACAGTGTAATCATATTGTAGAACTCGTACAAAAAGCATTGAAACTTCTACTTTCAAGTAGCTTTCACTACTAGAAACTGAAATTTTTTTGTTGTGACAATTAGTCGCCAGAATGTATGATAGTGTGGAAAAAAAGTTAATACTTTGCAGCAATAACGATTAGTAACAAATTTAGAACGTGAGCTGTCTGAAAATGGTCCTAGCTACCTGTTGTGTTTGGGAAGGTCTTCTCGTTTCTCCTTTTCGGCGACCTTCAGACAGCCTTTTTCATTATTTACTGGATCATCATCTCTGCTCATTATAACCCCGCGAATTATCTGCTGGTCTCTATATTCTCTTGAGCATTACTAGGTTTAAAAACCAGCCCAATTTCAACACTATAATTGCAGCAATCTGCGAGGTGTTCTGCAGCGATCCATCATGCTGTGAAGTTCGAAATGAAACTCACATTGAGAATCCGTGCAGAAACAAAGCGCGTTTTATTGCGGAAAAGTCGAAAACTTATGAAACAGCCGGAGGAAGTTGGAGCATAAGGGTTTGATTTTCAAAATTCTGTTGGTAAATTGACGTATGTTTTTAACTTTCATTCTAGTATGGCACAGGAGACGCTGCGGGATTTTTCGGCAGAGATACGGTACGTTTTGGCGCGCAAGGTACTGATCAACTTGTTGTTCCTGGAACCACATTTGGACAGGCCGAAACTATAGCGGATTTTTTCGCTACTGTAAATTTCAAATTTTATCTCCATCACTATCTATTGAAAGAAAATTCGCCAAATCTCTTGCAGACGTACGTTGATGGCATTTTGGGACTTGGATTTACCGAACTTGCACAACAGCATGTTATTCCACCACTTATTCGTGCAAACAGTCTTGGATTGCTTGACGAGCCAATTTTTACGGTGTATTACAGCAAAAATGGAAGTAAGTTTATCCATAAAAATCAGATTAAGAATAACAATAGGAAATGCCTTATATGAGGTAAGAATAGAACTTACCTTGATTATTTTTGACCGGACTTGTCTTGGGATCCAGCACCATGCAGAATCAGACTTCGTTCTCATTTTCTTCTGCAACCTTGCTTGCCATTCGTCTATATTCTTTCTCTGATTTTCTACAAACTCAATTAGCATTTTATTGACCTTAATTTACTGATAATAGCTCAAAGAACAGGCATTAAATTGAAAAAAACGCAATTTTGGAATAAAATAATTTTTTTAGACGTTAAGGAAGTTTATGGAGGAACTATCACCTATGGTGGTTTAGACACTATAAACTGCGAGAAGGAGATTACATACGTACCTCTCTCTTCGGCTACGTATTGGCAGTTTAAGGTAAGCCTAGGTCTGCTTTTTATTCAATTTTCGGTACTTTTCCGTTATCCGGACCCATTTCTTCAAAGAAGGATTTTGCTTCTTCCCTCACACCAAATTTGGTCCCAACTATAAAGAAAGGAGTGTCAACCTTTCTGCCACGTGTCAAGAAAATCTGGCATGTGACTTACATGTTCAACACATTTAACCAAGAGTTTGAGTTGCCCTTTAGCGACGTAAGTTCAACCTGTTTTTTGGTCAATAGTGGCCTCATATTCGATTGAACAGTGCCAAAAATGAACAATGTTATCATAATTACGTCATTCTGTTATTGACGAACAGATCGAACTCGCCCAGAATAGAGAAATGGGCTAGGTTTTTATTATCTAAGTGAAGAAACGAGCAGTGGCGAGGAACTTTTCATCATTTATAGTCTCGTCTGGCTAAATTCGCAAAGCGAAAAGTTTAGAGAGAAGGGCAGATCATAACATAGCTAAAAACGATCAAGATGTTACAGTATAAGTCCTAGATTGTTTTGGTCTTATAGGAAACAAATAAACAGCTTTCAGGTTATCACAAATGCTTTTTCACTTCACCGGAAATGATTTCGAAAAAAACATGTCAAAATGGACCAAAACGTGTCAATATTTTCCTGACACGTGGCAGGAGGGCAATCCTCGTGGAATCTTTGAAAAAAAGTTTTCAGACTAGAGAACGTCTTTTATGAGAGCCTGTTGAAAAAATGGGTCCGGATAACGGAAAAGTACCCAATTTTCTCACAAGCAATCTGGTAGTTTTGGTTACCGAATAGAGGGAGGGGGGTTGTGCTTTCTCGCGAAAATGGGTCGCAAACTATACTCTGCTGCATGACAAAGGCGCAATATCTTTGGACGCGGACGCGGCTCTATTAGCCGTAGAGCGCATCAGGCGCAGGATTTACAACGGTGAAGATACGGCGCAGCGTTCACGCTCGCTCAACTAATGCTGCTTCTGCGCCTTCGTCATGCAGCAGTCTCTACTTGAGAGTGCTTTACTGGAGGTGAAAACTTCGCATATCTTGCTTTCATTTGTAAGCAAAAAAAATTTTGAGCATTTTTAGAATTTTGCAAAAATTTTTGGGGGTGGCCGCCTCCTTCTCCAAAGTTCTGAAAGTCAGGCCCGCTAGCATTTGAAAAGCACCCAAAAACCAAAAGGAAGACGTTTTTTGAAAAAGCTTTGTCTTCCCTTTCCAAGTAAATTGCTTTTACCACCACTGGTATGAAGCATTGAATTAATTCGTAAGTCTATTAAAAGCTACAAAAATTTCCATATTATTCTTGAAGGAAGAATCTTTTCCTTCTTACACAAAAAGCTAATTAATTTCATTACACCTTCAAAATGGCTTTTTAAAGTGAGAACCAAACTGAAATTCATGCCCATGATAGCTAGTAAAGGATAAAGCATAAAGGGTTCGGCGTCTTCAATACTTTTGAGTGCATGCGCCGAACGCACACACTAACTTCATAGTCGAAGAGGCAATTGTATGCGTGCGAGCCTATTACAGTGACTTGCGGGGGCCAGCCGTTTCCAAGTCAATGCTTTTATCCTCCCAGATTACCATTTGATTTAACTGGCTTGGCATCGGCAAGGGCGCGGCTTCGTGATCTAATTATGGCTAGGTAATGATCAGAGAGCACTCGCGCGAGAGAGACGAGGTGCGTCGCGGGCGCGAGCAGCCTCAATTAGATCACAAAACCCCGCCCTAATGGTGCCAAGCCAGTTGAATCAAATGTTACTCTGTACCAATTTACAGGCCCCGGAGGGTAGAGGGCTTGATTGGCCGGGGGGGGGGGATCGAACCTTCGTCCGATCTGGTCATAGCGGCGCCTCATACCACTACGCCACTCGTCCATGATAGGTGATATTGGCGCAAAATGAGCTAAGCATCTCAGAGTGTTGCTGAAAGCACTTTCTCTCAACATACCTTCCCGAAATTCTTGTATGGCATTTTTGGCGTCGTATTCCTTTTGAATAGCTTTCTACACAATATTCGTTATCAAACAATACCCAGCGTCAAAGCAATCTTTTGTTCTCTATTCTAAAATGATACAATCTTGTCATGTGTAAAGTTCAAATTTGTGAAAATTCAGGTGGACGCATTTTCTGCTAAAGATTACAAAACAAATGAAACCACATGGGAAGCAATATCAGATACAGGGACATCGCTGATTTCTGGACCATTTGACGTGGTTGCAGACATCGCCGAACAATTCCATGCAGAGGTGAAATCGTTTCAGAAATTTTATTAGGTTGGCTCAAAAAATAATTTCTGTCGTTTTTAACGGTCTGTATATTTTTATGGGACCATTCGAACGAGTAAATCAAGGAGAACCATATGGCTAAATCTTTTCCTCAAAAAATTATTTTCTAATGGCGAAATGGCGCAAGGAAGCAAAAAATTCAAAATATTTTTCGTCAAAATTCCAAAAAATAGCGCTCCAAAAAACGAAACGAAAGTGGGTGTAAAGTGCCCTAATGGTGCGCACACATAACATTTTTATATTACATTTGTCATAGATGTTCATTTGAAATGCCCCGAAAATGACTTCCACAAGAAGATACTCGGAAATTTACGCGTTGGCTACAAACACACATACAGCAGACAGTTTCCATTGTAGACCGCCACGTAGCCAAAGTTTGCATGCACTCAATCACTGTTCATAAATTGCACTTACTACAAGCTAAGAGCGAAACTTGAAAAGTTAGAAAAGTGATTCTTTTATCACGCTTATGAATTCTATGTAACGTGTATGTGGTAGTAGAAGCTTTAAGCTATCTGCTCACCAAAAAGATATAGCTAAATAGCAGTTACTTGCATTTTTACGGAGCTTCGAAGTTGCATTTCAAAATTGAACTAATTAATAGCCAACCTAATAGGTTTTTTTAGCTAAGTCGCTAAGCCAAGTTGTGTTAATTGTGCAAATGATTTGCGAATAATTCTTGAAAAAAGAGAATGTTTTTAGAAAACCGCAATGCCGCCAGCCAGCTAAAATTTTGGGGAAATGGAGGGTAGGTTCTAAAATGCATGCGAGATATTGAAAAGCAGCGTTTTTGTTGCACGGTACTTCAAAATATATATTCGCTAATAAAGAAAACTGCATGCAACAAACTCAATAAAGTCCGCGACGAGGGTATTCGGCCGCGCAAGCGACGCATGCGCGGGCGTACGAGCTCCAACGATAAAAAATGCTCGAATGCGAACGCTTTACGAGAACTGGCCGCTATTGTCAGGAACATATTAGGTGCGATAGGGGGAGCCGGGCCCCCTCCAGGTGAAGGGGGTCTCTGCTACTCTTATCCTTGTAAGGTGAAGGGGGTTAGTGAGCCCTGAAAGCAAAATGCCCCAACAAGTTGCATACCATTCGAAAACTGAAGTCATGTAGAATCGAAGTAGGCCGTCGACTTTTTTCTAGGTTCTGTGTGCCGCGAGAGATGAGGCATTTTATGTACTTCATATATCAACCGATTTTGTGTCCTCACTTTCTGCTCTCCAAATGAATGCTACGGGAAAGTCGACGGTCTACGTTTGTTAATGATGACTTGCTTTGTAAAATAGATAGATAAACATCAGTATTAGGTCTTTGTTTGGCAGAAATCTGCTGATGAAAATAGACGTGATTTCAGATAAAATGCAGTGTATCTCTCAGTAGAGGGGGCAACGAAGTCGACGGTCTATGTTGAATTCCCTTTTCCTGAGCTTTCAAATGGTACATAGATTGCTGGGCGAAAAAACTTGCCACTTTCAAAAAAATGGGGTGGAGATATTTACAGCTTGCTCCACTTGCTCCTCCAATGCATTGGCTTTTATGGGTCACCGGAGCAAGCATTTTTTTGGAGCCGGGAAGCTCGATGCGTCAACAAGCTAACATCATTCAAAAGCCGAGATGAAGAATCGACCTAGGCCATCGGCTTTTTTCTATTCTTCTTAGCAGTAAGATATGACGGTTTTATCTGACCGATATATCTACTGATTCGCTTTAGTCGACAAAAAATGCATATAAATCCCTTCCTTTTCATAAAAAAGCAATCTTACTATCTCATTTATTATTCACGATAATCACTGCGTATCACTGACAAGGGAATGGTCAGCTATCGAAGCGGCTAATCCAGACAAAGCTGCATATCAGTAGATGCAGCATGAAGCGCTGACTCTAAATCTGTCTTCTTTATCTGCTTATCGCTTTTCTGGAGAAGCTATAAAATTAAAGGTCATTATTTTGTTAAGAAATTATGCGTGAAATTGAAAATGTGGCCGTACAGAGCCGCGTTCGGCTTAACGCTGGACCAAAACATGCAGCTAATTTACTTCAAATTCGCAAAGCCTAAAGCTGAGCTGAAAGTGCAAATGTTCCCAATTTCAGTTTTTATGTACGATTTTTCCACAATAAAACTGCTTGTAGCTTCGTCCACAGAAGCGATAAGCAGATAAGGAAGACAGATTCGAAGTCAGCTTTTGATACTGCATCGGATGGCATACAGCTTGTTTGGTTTGTCCACTTCGACTTCTGATCATCCCCTTGTGAGCTTCTTTGCAGTCTTTAGCAAGACCTTTTTGGTTTTTACGAGCATCGATAACTTGGTGACTTACTATAGATATACAGGATGTTCTAAAAGTATGCATACACTGTTTGATCGTTAATATCTCTTTTCCCAAGAAGTCTTTTGCTTACCTTTAAGCAACATTTTATAGAGCTGGTTTCAACTTAAACTTACAGTAAGGAGCAAATTACCGGTCGCTCTTTATTACTGTAGGATAACGGTAGAAAATTCAATAAGGGTTGTGAGCCATCAAGGACCCTATTTCGCCTCAGGAAGCAAGCCGAACAACCAGAGAACTTTCGTGCTAGGTCAACTGAAGCCGATAAAACCAAATACCATGTTTGCACTTCGCCGTATTGCTTTTTTCATAAGTTATGCCAAGTAGACCGCAATAGCTGTTTTTACAAGACTCCATAAAATCGTGATTATACCATAACTCATGAAAAGTTGAATTATAAAATCAGCGAGCTTGAAAACCCTAGTACATCACTTTACAGATTTTTTGGAAACTTTTTTTGAAACACTAAATTCGTAATGACGCTATAAGTTGAAAAGTTCCTACCCTAATCTTACATTAGTGATGAATGATCCGTGATTTGCTCTATACTGTAAATCTAAGTTGAAGCCAGCTCTACAAAATGGTGCTTAGAGATAAGTAAAAGACTTCTTGGGGGAAGAGATATTAGAAGAGATATCAGTGCATACATACTTTTGGGATACCCTGTAGACATACTAGTTAGTTGGTTTTTTGCTTCTCTTGCAAGCAAAGGCGTCTATCTTTTTATCAATCTCAAAGCTGTGACAAGTCTTAGAAAACCTTAAGGCTTAAAAATAAAAATGCTCAAAAATTTTTTTCCAAAAAACTTGGAAGAAAGAGGTAGAGAACAAACATCAAACATTTATTAAGTTGTTGCAAAAATAATGTCCGTTTTTCTAGGCCTATATTCCAAACGACTTTTTTCCGTCGAACTTTCTATTACGATATAGAATCTGCATATTATTGGAAAGCTTTCTCCATGTACTTTCTAACGGTGGTAGAAAAAAGCTGCTATCCTCATCTGTGAGAATTTCACCAGCATTTTGCACATCCGCACTCAAAATCGAAATTTCATAGCTTTCAGTTTCTTGACCACAATTCAGGAGCAAATAAACGAATTCTTCTGAAAACATAGCAACTGTATCAGATGAAGATTGTTTACCTACTGCATGCTCATCTAGATTTTTGGAGATATCTGGACCAAGATTGACGCCTCGAAATAGACACTTACTGCTGGCATTCTAAGGGTCAGAAATTTTTCATAATTAAGGCAATCGCCAAAGCTTCGCCCATTTCTGTAAACTTGAGATAAGCATACCTTAACTACAATATCTGAAAAGTAACTTAGCTATTCAGTGCACAAAAAATTCCAAATTTTTATAATTTGGCACTCACAAGCCTACAAGAAATAGGCTCAAAAAGTGAACATTTTTGAATTTTTTTCTTTCCTTTTCGCACAACTCCTTCTTAAGAGGCTTTTCTATACATACGTAAACACGTGGCCTGCGACTTCAAAATAAGCTGATTGGCAGCCATACGAGCAAAACTTGAAGGAAGTTGTAAGCTCGCAAAGAAGAGGTTTTCAAAAAAAAAACTTCCACTTTTTTGACGCATGGTTTTCTTCCCGTTTGCTATATCAGTACGAGCAGGTGCTAAATTACGAAAGGTTTGCTGTTTCTGATGGTCTTAATTGCATTTGAAAATATAAAGACTAAACGAAGTTATAGCCTTCCAAAGTGAAAATTTGCAAAACGGGCATTATTTTTGCAACAACCTAATAGATTCTTGAAAAAAATCCAAATGTTTTTTGATTCTTATATTCGTTTTTTGGGGTGTCTATATTTCCAAGTTATTTTTTCTTGAATTTAGTCAATTTTTTATGCTACAGTATCTATTGTAGACGCCATTGATAGTGCGAAAAAAGCAATTACTGTAATAATTCTCATTGTAACTAATAGAAATTCTTCTTTTCATGGAATATGTGGTTGTTGTGTTTTCGACTGAAGTGAATCTCCAGTAGCTTTTTGATCATGATTCACTCTCAAATTACCTTCTCAAATCAGCCTCAGGTGAAGGGGTCATCCTGGTTCTGGCTCAAACGTGAGGGGGGGGGGGGTGGGGTAAGATCAATTGCTCCCCCTATCGCAACCCTGACTCAGGAACCACCCCCTACTTGCAGTACAAATATTCTACAATTTTATTCCAGTTCAACTTCTCCTACTTCCTCTACACGCTCGACTGCAAAGCGGACGCTGAAGTAACCATCACCATCGCTGGAAAGGACTACCCTATCACGGCTAAAAACTTGATCGTTCACATTGATGAAAGTACTTGCGTTTTGGGACTCAACCCAAGAATTGGCGCTTCCTTGGCACCGCAATGGATTCTTGGTGGCCCATTCCTGCGGGAATACTGTAATATTCATGACATGGCCAAGAAAAGAATTGGTTTCGCTAGACCACTTGAAAAGCGATAATCTTGATTCATTGATACTATAATAAAGAATGGCAACTATTTGCACTTATATAATGACAAGTTGAGGCGAGCGACTGCGGTGCGTATGAGAGTATGGATTTGCAGCAAGGCAGCGTGTTTTCTTAGACGTCGTTTCTCCTCGAGTGTTTTCGAAGGGGGTGGGCTATTAGGTGCAAAAAGGCTGTAGTTTCGGAGGTGCCCACACTCTCGTTGGTTGCTAACACCTTCCCCCCTCTCCTAATTCACAAGTCTGTACTATATGTGTGTGGTTGATACCAAGACTTGTTGCTTTGAGTTCCTGCCATTGCAAAGTTTTGGTTTTCGACATGCTGGAGTAGTTAGTCGCATGTTCATGATAGTATGTTCATACTCTATATCTGTTAAAGTATTCGTGGCTGCCCCTACCATTCAAAAAAATCCTTAATGATTGATCAGGACATTTCTTTGCTTCCTCGAGATCGATCTGTAATAGTTTTGTAGGTCTCTAAGGAGTTGTTAGGCCCTTCATTTTTTCTCTGCACTTCGGTCACATCGGTCTGCAAGCTCCCCATTGGGCCGTTCATCTGATTATCGGTGGGGAGTGGGGGGGGAGGAGGGGTAGGTGTAAGACAGCTCCTTCTTTGAATATCGTCCTGCAAGAATTCATACAGTGGCCTCAACTCAGACAATCACAGGCTCTCAGCCGGCGGCGATAAAGGGCACTTTCACTGAGCGGGCGGCGATACTGCAAAAGTGGCAGTGAGCGGGCGATGACATTGTAGGAATGGCGGTGAGCGGGCAGCGACGGGCACCAGCGGGCAGCTATAATCTTCCATGAGTCAGAAAATAGCTGCAGAGCGCATTCATTCCTACAAAAGCAGCCAAAAGGCGACGATGAGGCAGCGACTCCGTTAAGCTGGCAGCGACCGTGAAACGATGGGGCTGCGAATACAAGATTTCTGTCAGCGGGCCGCATCAATGCTATGAGCAGGCAGCCTTAATTCATAACGCCGTATTGTGGCTGCCAACTGGATGCCATATCGTTGCCCGCTCGAGACATTGTTGATCGCACCAGAAAAGTTAGATGTGCAGGCAAACGAGATTGGCAGCGTGGGCTCGCGTCATTTTTTCAGGTGCGATCAACAATGTCTCGAGCGGGCAACGATATGGCATCCAGTTGGCAGCGTGGGCTCGCGTCATTTTTTCATTTTTTGTTGCCTAATCTTTGTTTTCATCTTCGCTTTTCTTTGTTTTCATTTTCGTTATCATTCAGTGCTTCATTTCAAGTACTAGTGAACCAGTACCTATAGGCCCCGGTCAGACTTCACGCGACTTAATCGTCGCGACCAAATCGCCAAGATTTCCATTCATTTTCATTTCACATTCAAAAATTTCCGTCTGGAAAAGTATCACAACCGAATGCAAGTTGATCTGCATGGAGTGATGTTGTAACAGTTGTCTCCTCGTGGTTCAGTCGCGACGATCAAATCGCGTGAAGTCTGCCCGGGGCCATAGACGCTATTTGGAAGAGCGTTTGCTTCGGGACTCGTCGTGGTTCCCCGCTATTTTTGATTTGAGATTTTTGAATTGAGCTAACGATTCTTTATATATCAGATTTCTTGAGTAAAAGACCATCTATTCACTCATTTTACGAATGTAAACATAAAAGTGCCTTTCTCTTAACATTTTCGCCGCTGTCACATCATTCGACTACAAGCGTGCTGTCTTTGCGCTCAAAGATCTGCATCATTGCATTTCGCATGCGTCCATTTTCAAAATGCTTATTGATTAGAGGGCGTCGCTAGGCTTTGCTACTTCAATCCTGTGTTTATAATTTTTTCGAGAAAAAACTCTCAGCCTCAGCGGATTACATGCGAAAACATGACCTTTTACGCAACGAACGACCATCACGGCTCACTCCGCCAGCGTGTTGTACGCAAAGTTCATTGAGTGAGTAAGGATTGATTTGAGGTTTAGTCTGAGTGCCACACACAGCGTAAGTTGTTTTCGTCGCACGTGTTTTTACCGATCGGCCTTTTCAAAAAGTAAAATTCTCATTTCGAAGCCAAGTGCATTCATCGAAACACAGTGCGCACCTTTTCAATGATGTACCGTCGGTTCATTTCATTCATGTGTGCCATTGCACACACCGTCCATCTTTGGCGTACCCATCCTGGATTCTTGGAGGACGCAACCCTTCCGTTAAGCGATTCTGATGTTTTCTCGCTGTTTTGTTTTCTTTTTAGGTACTATTTATCTCTAAATGATGTAAGCGATAGCAATTGCTCACTCTCTCGCGTTTTTGCGATCGCAAATCCGAGATGGGGACACCAAAGATGGACGGTGTGTGCGGGTGCACACATGATCATATGAAATGAATCGACTGTACTTGTACAGTGAGCACATAAAAGGTTTACAGTTTTACGGAAAATTGTTTGGCACGCAGTCGTTCGTCAACGCAGCTATCGTCGATTCGTTGACCGTACGGACTGCTGAAGCGCTGCGGACCACATGCGGCGCGGTTAATATGTTGCGAGAGCACGAACAATGGCGATCTTGTATTGGAGCAAGCGTTTTACCTCGCGGCGCGTGCTCCGCGGTTATGTCCAGTCTGCGCAGTTAACGAATCGACGATAGTTATTTGCAGCTGTGATGTGAAACTAGTTTCTGTCTCTTTTTATCGTCAAGGCTTGATAAAGTCTCCCTACCTCCTAGAAATGAAATTAGGGCTTTTCATACTTCCACTAATTGCTGTACCATATTTGTCTTGCGTTTCTCTCTGTCTAATGTCTGTCTTTGATGTATATCTATATATTTCCAACTACTCTCTCTTTTGCAGGCATTTCATGATGTTTGTAATCGTAGTCAATTACAGCTTCTCTTAGACGCTGCAGTCACCGACGAAGACGCACACAATTCCAGAGGAAGTGTTGCACAACATAAGGAAAATGGGTTTGGATCAGAACTGACAGTTGCCTGAAAAATGGGTTTGGATCAGAACTGACAGTTGCCTGAACGATACTCAGGCGCGAATGGATTGTTGATTCGCATGAGAAACCTCTGCATTGCGCGCTAACACTGGCAGTTCCTCACTCATGTTTGTGAATATATTTATCGCGGTGGAATGTGTATTCGCCGCTCCCCATATGGATTCGTTTTATCAATGTTTGTACCCTCAAGGTCTATTATCAGCATATTTTCTGTTCTAAAGAACGTAAATTTATGCGTGTGTATCACTGCGTACTTGCGTACTCATCCACTTAACTGTTAGTTGCCATTTCATTAGTTCTAACCTTTATCCAGAGTTTACAAACGTGGCCGTACGTAGTCGTAGTATACGATCTAAGCTAACCTCTAAGCTTTTGGGCTACGGACACTTCCTATCTTTTAGGAAAGCGGGAAGCGGCAGTGAGGCGATAAGGCACGGAGCTTTTGGTGGGTTTTCGCAGTGGCTTTGTTGCTGCCGGCTGAAAATCTTGTCTGTGTAGCTTCTTGTTATGCTTGGACTACAACGTTGTAACTTCAATTAATTCATTATAACGATGGCAAGTAACAATGAAGAACATAACCATCTGGGGCCATATCTATTTCTCCATGTGGTCATATCTCCAGATGGTTATGTTCTTCATTGTTACTTGTCATCGTTATAATGAATTAATTGAAGTTACAACGTTGTAGTCCAAGCATAACAAGAAGCTACACAGACAAGATTTTCAGCCGGCAGCCACAAAGCCACTGCGAAAACCCACCAAAAGCGCCGTGGCCTTATCGCCTCACTGCCGCTTCCCGCTGAGAACTGTAGAAGCGAGCGGGCTACAAATATGGCAATGAGCGGGAGGCTAAAGCTGGCAGCGGGCGGACTGCTATGAGGGCTTCAGCGGGAAGCGAAAGTGGCCGCGATGAGGCCACCGCGCTTTTGGTGGGTTTTCGCGGTGGCTTTGTGGCCCCCGGCTGAGAGCCTGTGATTGTCTGAGAAGGCGCTTATTTGTCAAGTATAGGTTGTTGAGCGCCTTCTTGGCAGTACTTTCTGAAGCAGTAAAGCATAGGTCCGTAAGCATCCCAAAGGACGATTTTTTGTGAACAACGGTCTCTGAGAACTTTTAGAGCAGTTATTCTCAACAGTCGGCCTGTGAGCCTACTGTTTGATTGTTGATAACCCTCTTGTGATGAATTCTTTGGAGAAGATTTGAGTACCATTCTGTAGAGCTGGCTTCACCTTAGATTTGCAGAGAACGAGTCACCCATTTCTCTTCATTACTGTAGGATTACGTTAGGAACATTGAAGAGGGTTTTGAGCCATAAAAGGCCATATTTTGTCTCAGAAAGCAAACAAAAACAATCTAAAAACTTTCAACCTGAACTATGTTGAGTTGCTGATCCCAAGTGTGAAATTCGCAACTTATCATAATTCTTCATTGGAAAGTATGGGAGGTAAACAGTACCGGCCGTTTTCTCAATGTTCCCAAATAGTGCGGTTACACCGTTTAGAAAGCTTCGCAATCTTGTATCTATATAGTTGATTATTGAACTCAGCGTCCATGGAAACTCTATTACACAATCATTCACAATTTTTTAAATATTTCTGAAACGCCAGCTTTTTTCACAGTGATGTGCTGAAGTTCCTGCCGTAATCCTACAGTAATAAAGAATGATTGGCGATTCTATACTGCTAATCTAAGTTGAAGCCAGCCCTAGAGAACGGTACGCATGCTTTTCGAAAAACCTCATTACAAGAGAATCAAACAATGGGCACATTTATTTGGGACACACTGTATATAGAAAATTTGTGAAGTTTGTTACGATTTCACTCAACAATTCTTAGGCTGAATTTTAACTGAATCACAAAGGACATTGGTGTGATTTTCTGCTCTTACCTTGATAACAGACAATAAGCAGTTACTGATTTGTTAGCAGTTTTTCAAAGTCTTTTGGACAGATCTGCATCGCACAAAAATGGTCGAAGTAATAATAAGCTTCGTTTCGTGTCAAAGAATACCAAATCTACAGACTGGTCGAGCATCTACCGTAAGAGAAACAAAGAAGATTGATGCAGTGTTGAATT